ATGTGACCGCTGCACCTGATGTTCATAAACTTTCATAACTGGTAAGTGTTTTTTCTTTTGCCTTGTGAACTGGCCGAGCCTTAATGATTCTGTTTCTTTACATGTATTTGTTTACTGACTGTTGCATGCAATCGTGAAATACAGCATTTTTTTTAAATTGTCTATTCGTTGTGGGGAAAAAAAATTAAAATTCGGGTTCGGGCTCTAAATTTAACTGTGCCGTTCAGGTCGGGTGGGGCCGGGTCAGACGATCTCGGGTACGGGTCAGATTCGGGCTTCAGTTTAAAGCCCGTGCAGACCTCTAAACCAAGGTAGCCCTTCTCTTAGCCCTTTACAGTTTTGAAATTGTTGTTTTAAATTTGAAGTAATGCCTCACTCGAGTTTAGTCAAAGCCCCAAAAAATTATACTTATTTTATTCTACTCAATGAGACCTTTCAAATGACATATGACACATGACTATCCGAGCTGTATGATGTTTCTGACATATTAGAATACATGGCACAAAACATTTTTCATAAATTATGAAGAAAAAAAAATCTATTTAGCCCCAAATAACTCAGCACTACTTAGGAGTTAATCAAAGTGGCCTGTAAAGGTCAAACTCCAAGCCAAGTGTCAAATGACACCTATTTTGTGTTGATTAAGGCAGATATTTTGAAAAATATGCTTATTATTTTTTTCTTTGCTAGGGGGCACCCGCCGGCGGTACACTCCAGTTTAGAGGAACTAGGCAGTACTGGTAAGGAGTTGATCAAAATGGTTGGATGCATTCGAAAGCTGAATTTCTAAGCTTTAAAATTATACCTAATTATTTGTTTAAAATGTTATATAAAAGATAAAATAGACAGAAATATTATAGGGTTTACATTCTGCTTGCCAAGTGTTCAGTAGAGTTCCCCAACTGATTTCTTCAATTCATGGGTTTATTTACACACGAAAGACGCAAAGGATTGTTTAGATTTTATCTCATTTCATTCGTGAGAATCTGCTGTAAATAATGATATGTCATTTTCCACGATCGGAGCATGTTTCATGAAATGACAAGCGTAAAATCCATGAGAATATTGCAACATGCGCGCATTTGGGGTTTTATGTGTTATAATTCGATGACGAATATCTTTAGAACTAAATGACATATTATGGTATGATTGGGCTCATTTTAATCAAGAGAATTTTCTGAAAATAATGACGTGCAAATTTCCATGATCTATGCATGTTTCATGAAGTTACGAATAAAAGCGCAAAGTGAAACTACAGTTATTTGTCCTGCTGCGCCTGAAGCGCGGCCATTGGGTTTTATGTTATAGCAATATGAGCAATATCTTTGGATCCCATTGACAGATTATGGTAACTCTGGGCTCATTTTAATCGGGAGAATGTTCTGAAAATAATGACGGGTTTTTTAAGATCTATGCATGTTTCGTGAAGTTATGAACGAAAACGCAACGTGAAGCATAGCTGTTTTTCTTTGCTGCACCTCAGTGCGCCTGTCTGGTTTCATGTGTTACAGCTCTATGAACGAAATCTTTCGATCTGATCGACGGATTATGGTAAATTTGGGCTCTTTTTTAATCAGGAGAATTTTTCGAATATAATGTTGTGCGGTTTTTTAAGATCTATGCATGTTTGGTGTAACCTTTTTTTGCTAAGCTACATTTCCTAATTCTTTTCTATGTGCTATAGCTTTATGAGAGATATCTTTAGATCTGAGCGATGCATAATGGTGAGTTTGGGCGCTTTTTAATCGGGAGAATTTTCTGCAAATAATGATGTGTCATATTCCATGATATATGCATGTTTCATGAAGTTACGAGCGAAATCGCCACATGACAGCTACCTTATATTTTTTGGCTAAGAGACATGCCGCCTGTGCAGTTTTATGTGTGTTATAAATTCATGAGGAAAATCTTTAGATATAAATGACAGATTATAGTGGGCTCTTTGTAATCAGGAGAATCTGCTCTAAATAATGGTGCCTAATTTTCCACGATCTGAGCATGTTTTATGAAGTTACAAGTAAAACAGTGACATCAATATATTATTTTCATATGGGTCTGGGGGTGACTTCTTGTGCAAAAACTCGCTCCAGTTTATTCAAAGCCCCAAACAATAACTCGCTCCAGTTTATTCAAAGCCCCAAACAATTATGCTTGTTTCATTCTACTTGATGAGACCTTTCAAATGACATATGACATATGACTATCCGAGCTGTATGATATTTTTGACATATTAGAGTACATGGCAAAAAGAAAACATATTTTGTATATTATGATTTTTTTTGTGTCATTTATCAGCAAGTCCCGCCCGCGGTACACTCCGGTTTAGAGGGACTGCTTATCGCTCGTTAAGATCAAAATAATTACATTAATTAAAAAGCTGAGATTCTAAGCTTTAAAATGATACCTATTTTGTGTTATCCCATTCAGGGGTTGCTTAGTAATTTGATTTTGCATTTTTTCGTGCGGGTGGCCTCGGTTTAACCCCTTAGCTGTCACCCCCCATTTTCAGCATGGAGACACAAATGACATACCCAAAATAAAAAGGTTGCAGCTCATGAGTCTTTCTTACTAGATATATAATCAACATATGTTCAACAAAGCTGACAAAGTGTACTTTTCAGATATCAGAATTACTCAGACTGTTATGATAATAAAGATATATAAGCTCAAACACGAAAACAAAAATAAAAATATTAAAAACATATTTTTTAAATGTATAAAAAAATATGTTGCTGTAGGATATGATTTTAGAAACACAATGAAGCTAAAGCCACAAGTCTACTAATGCTTCATTTGAAATTTCAGAACATAATCTCTAAAACTGTGAATTTTATGAAACATTTTCTAAGACCATGACAAGTATGTTTTTAGAGAAGGCTAATAAAAGGCTAATAAAATTGATTTATGATCCCTGTAAGCTGTCTCCTCATGTCTGGCTCCGAACCTTTCACACCTCCGCCAGGGTATGAGACATTATCCTCATTATTTTTTTATCATTATTCTTTTGTTTTATTCAGCCATTAGTAGCCTTGTAAGGGAAACAGGTCAATTTAGCTCAAAGGGAATCATTTAAGATTTTAAAGGGAATTTGGACAGAATCACTGTTTTACGGCTGATCACTGAGACGGCCAGCGATTGATGTATAACATCAATTCTGCAATGGATATTAATATCCAAAATATAGTGTCTGATTTACGAACATCCTGTGTCATGGGCCTCTGTGGACTTCGGCTCCTCATGTTTCAACTGTGTTTTGATCACATCTTAGATTGTCTGATTCGGTCTGATATCCTACAGCCTTTATTCTGGCATTACAAGGTTTACCAAGCCACATCACTTCAATCCCAGTATACATTTACCCAACTACTATCAAAAGTCTTTCTATAAAAATACAACAAAAATTTTTCTTACGACCTTACGTGAATTATTATGACAAAATGCATTATGAAGAAGAGCTGCACCTGTTCTGCAGCTGCATTAGAGCTAACATTAGCATCAAGCTACATAAGACAATTTATGAGATTATAACTTCCTTTTGCAATCTCATGTGGAATTTGGACGTTTACTGTTGTAAAAATATGCTATTTATAGCCTTTTATATCGCTGCACAAATTAGCATTTCAGATGTACACATTCATTATTGTTATGAAAATACCCCAAATCTCAAGAAAATCACATACAAACCATATACTATCGTAATCGTGTGTTTATTATTTGGATATTTCGTGGGTACAGAGGTTTCTCTGTGTTTGTTGTGGTCAGAAATCAACGCGGAAGAGTGAAGGAAACGCGTGACAGGATGAGACGGCTTGTTATGAGACGCAAAAGATTGACAAGGCGAAGGACGAATCAGAGTTTGTCTGAGTCACAGCGTGAGCACGGAAGAGTAAACACACAGAAACAGCCCAGGAAGCACAGCCCAGGGAGCGGCTAATTATCATCAGATCGCGTAAATCAATGGAAATGAATAGAAATGATGATTCTGTCTGAAAAAATATGAAGTAAACATGAGTAAATATATCTATATATCTCCATGCATATGCATCTTTGGACTATAAGCCCTTATTAGTCACCGATCTTTGACCGCTAAGGGGGTTTAAAGGGTTAAATATGCTCTTGTGTCATGTTCGCTTGTTTGTTCATCTGTAATCGTATTGTCGTTCCCTTCAGCTATGATCAAGACACATTCATTTCCACACTCTATAAGCCTGGAGCATCTAAACCTCCTCCACTGTCTGTTTCAAGCGTCAGCTCCCAAAGTGTGTCCGTAAAGTAAGATAATATGTCTAATACAGCAGATTCTGCCATAATCGTTGCCTGAGTTGCTTACGAATGTGTGGGGCGGAGCTATCAAAATAGGGGCGAGACCCTTTTGGGGTAGGGGCGTGTTTGTTTTGGTGATTTGAAACATCAACATTGGCTACCAGAAATCACTTACCCCACCTTTAAACTGAAAAAATTAATCGCCTGTGTTAACGTGCTAATTTTGACAGCACTAATATATATATATAAAATTTTCTTTTTGTCAAGTAACATGCTGCACAACAGAATTGTGTAAATTTAAATGGATGAAAAATGGTAGTTTTTTTCAATTAAATGGTCTAGAGATGAAGTTCATGTGTACTGTCCTCATATATTAAGACAGCAGATGCTGAAAAAAAAACACACTAGCAGACAAATCTATGCACTCATTCACACAGAGACATGCAGAACATGCAGACCAAATAGCGACATGCACTGACTGGCTGTTGTGTTTATTTCTGCTGTGTGCTTGGCAGTTAGATTCATCTATACCGAATAAAAATGTCCAGAGCTTATCATTGTCACCAACATAAATTTTATCGCACTCTCGCCATGATACTGTTTATCATCCAGCCCTAATGTACTGATCAATTAATATTCAAGACCTTAAGAAAAATGGCATAGAAATATTAAATAAAAAAGTCTAACTATAAAAGTGCTTCCAAAGCATTAGTTGACAGTAAATGAAGGAGACTCACATCATGCCCAAGTTCAGCAAGTCCAGCAATGCAACCATAACGAGTCGTCCACTGAGTTTTATCATCCAACAATGCCTGACAATTGAAAAAAGACATAAAATAATGATGGGCACTTCAAACTTTTTAGATGACTTCTGGTGCTTTAGCTTATCAGGTATATTTGTTATACTTACATAAAACTAATAATAGTTTGTAAACACACAATAACTCTAAATCTCAAGTCCAAGCACAGTGTCTACTACCTTAGTAAAGGTCTTGGTGATACGTGACTGGATGTTGTTGGTTGTCATGCTGAACGTCTTGCAACTCTGAGCCATCAGCCGGGCAGCAAAGTCTCGCAGAGCCCAGTGATTGTCCACGTCAGGCCTCAGACATAGCTGCTTACTCACAATACACGTCACCACAGCTGGGATCAACTCGTGGAGCTAAAAGAGAGTGAAAGTAGTTACATGAAGAAAAATATAATTTTTCTAGAACTTTTGAGATGAAACAGTTTGTACTACAAAAAAAACATATAGAAAGTTTAAGAACTCAAAATGTCCTTCCCAGCAAAAAATAAATAAAAATTTACTGTAACCTGAAAAACAGATTTATATGCAAATTAGGCAGTCTATCATAACACAGCATGTTAGAACTTGTATCGGAACTTGTATCGGTACAGCAGCAAAACAAGGTCTTAATTTCAAAGGTCAAAGAGAGAGTTAACATGATTTTGAAAAACTAATCAAAAAGGTAAAATAAAATAGGCAACATTTTAGATTTATGAGATGTAAATAAAGTGTATGTTATTATTAGTATATAGTGTTTGAATAGCTTACATATTTCTCTAAATATAGAGTTGGATTGTCCATTAAAGCCTTCACCATCCTCATTAAGTATATCAGCAGAGCCAGATTATTCTGAACAACATTTACACGGACCTGAAAGAGAAAGCGATAACACTTATTCTTGTTACAACAATATAGAGGATCTTTCTGTGCTTTCTATATATAGAAATTCAGAATTCAGAATTTAATTAAAGAAGTTTCAGGAGTGACATCCGTATTGTGACATAATTCGCATAATGCGGGATTCACTCTTGAAATAGCATAGAAATAGTGATTAACAGTGATAATGATTGCAATGGATGGGGGGAAAAAATTGTCAAAACAGATGTGCATTAAAGGGTCAGTTCACCCAAAAATGAAAATTAGCCCATTAACTCAACGTCAAGGCATCCTAGGTGTATATGACTTTCTTCTTTCAGACAAATCCAATCGGAGTTATATTAAAAATTGTCTTTGATCTTCCAAGCTGTTTAATGGCAGTCAGAGGGTGTTGCAGTGCATCAGTCCAAAAGAAGTTAAATAAAGCGCATCCATTCATAATAAAAAGTGTCTCACACATGCCTCCTTTTGCGAATCGATGCATTTTTGTAAGAAAAATATCCATATTCAAAACGTAATAATCACTTTAATCTAGCTTGCGCCAACAGTTGTAAAATGGAAGCAGCTCCGGGAGGATGATGTATGAGGTCGGCGTTGCGCATGCGCCGCTCAGAAGTGACGAACGCGAAAGTGCAGCGGAGAGATCAAAACAAAACAACGGTCACGAATTAGAAGTACAAATCGAGGATCTGTAAAGAAGATTTCGATATAAGCCAAGAGGAGACTGGTTTTCCTTTGCTAAAGTAAGGAAACTTTGCTTCATTTGCTCCTGTTAACAAACACTGGTTTTCACGAGACACACCGACACACATGCGCAATGCCGACCTCATACATCATCCTCCCGGAGCTGCTTCCGTGTACAACTGTTGGCGCACACCTAGGATGCCTTGACGGTGAGTAATTCATGGGCTAATTTTCATTTTTGGGTGAACTAACCCTTTAAGCAATGAAAATTCAAACTAATAAATATATATATATATATATATATATATATACACAGTATATATATATTGTTAGCAAGGGAGGTGGGCGATATGATCAAAATTGTATTTTACAATAGGGTTGGGCGATAAGGCAAAAATATCATATGATTTTTTTCAGAAGGTAACAAAATATAAAATATACAAGATAAAATATGAAATAAAAAAGAATGGCAGACATTTAGGCCAAAGTGGGTAAAGATAAAATCTATGTCAGTATTTTATCTTTTTATTAAAATATAAGAACAAAGATAGGCTACACATTACAAATACACATAATATACAAATAAAACAAACAGAACTTTATTTTTCAGGTACAGTAGGTGTATTTAGCAGTTGCATTCAAGAAATTGAATTAACAAATATAAAAATAAAACACTATATACACTATATACATAAATTATACATTGACTCTTATTAAAGCAACTCTATTAAAGTTCTTCAGTCAAGAGCAGCGAGTGATTCTTCTCTTTGTGTTTTGTTTTATTACCATCACCCAAAAATGACAATTCTGTCATCATTTACTCTCTCGAGTTTTTTTTTAAACCCGAATGAGTTTCTTTCTTCTGTTGAACATAAAACTTATTTTGAAGAATGTGGGTAACCAAACAATTGCTGGACTCCAGTAACCAGAAGTATTTCATTATTTAAAAATTTTTTTTCCCACTATTAAAGTCAGCAGGGACCAGCTACTGTTTGGTTACCCACATTCTTCAAAATATCTTCTTTTGTGTTCAGCACAAGAAAAAAAAAAAAAAAACAGGTTTGGGACAACATGTGAGTGAGTAAATAATGACAGAAATGTAATTTTTGGGTGATCTATCACTTTAATGACAATCGGCAGCATGTTTAGTACTGTCACTTTAAGACCTGCATGCATCTAATATGCAGGAGCGCCTCCGTTTTTACTTTCACTTTAAACATAACCATCTGTTTTTATATGTAATCATTGTGTGTTTTTGACAGTATCAGGGGTTAAAGCAAAAAAAAAATCTTTTGACTGAACATTTTTCCTCAGCCAAACCCCATTCCACAGCCATACCTGTCACACACCCAGTTTAAGAGCAGTTTTTTCTTGTAATTAGGAGCGCTTGTCCTCCTAATTAAAAAACTTTAGGAGCACCTTCTGATCAATAATAAAAAATTCTGATCAAAAATTTGCCTTCCTAATATGAAGTGACATTTGACTCAAAGTGATTTACAGGGGTATTTTCTTTTTACCTTTTTACCTATCATTTTCATCTGTCAAATTCAAAATGTATGTTTATAAGCTTTTTAAAATTTCTATTTAAAACAATATAATAAGAAGTAGAATAAGACAAATAAGTTACCAATCATATGAAATTAGTATTAATAAAAAATTAATAATGAGGCTCAGAGGTGGCATGAGTGCAATTAAATTCATACATTCATGTGGAGATTAAAGTTTTAAATATAAAATTTTGCATACAAAAATATTAAATGATTTAAATAACTGAAATTATACGCTAAAAATGAAACTAAATCCACCAGCAGATGGCGGCAAGTCACTAATTTTATCACTGAATCATTCACTCAATTGATTCGTTCAAACGGCTGATTCATTCAGGAATGAAGCAAGTGACTGTCTTTATGAATGGGTAATCATGAATCACTGACTCACTAGATTCGTTCGAAAACGCATTTTCATTGAATGAATTAAACACGGCTGTGCTTGCTTTTAGAGATGCGCAGCAGCTGAGCTGTTACTATATTTGGAACTATTTTCGTTGAAGAAATAGAGCAAAATCAGGCAGTACTTGTTTATTGAACTGTTGTATTAAATCAATATCACATTTACAAACTCCCTTAATAACTATTAAAAGTTGTCACTCTCCTTATCTGTGGGCGCACAGAAAATGAGAGCGCGCGAGTGAGTTCTCAAGACTCAAAAGCACGTGCAAATGATACGTTCCGTCATCTGTCATCGTGTTATAAGCGCGAAACCTGCGGCAATGAGTAGAATTGTTATTAATAGCCGCAATCCTGCGCCGAAATTAAAGTTCTGCTCTGTGTTCTCTGCTAATAACCCGACTGTGAATGATGCGAGCGGCTATGTTGTCACTGAGAAGCTGCAGCCGTGGCGGGGATGATTTTTGGCAACAATGCGCTAAATGTTTCTTTTCCCCTAATTTTTCCAATTGACGGAAATCCGTCGTAGACTCGCTGCAATTAACGGAAATCCGTCATAGCGACGGAGGACTTTCATCCCTGCAGTATTAGGGAATCAGACGTGAAAGATAGCTTAGTCCAGTAATTATGCGCTGTTTGACGGGCTTTAGTGTGCACACGCTTCAGGTGTACGCGCTCAAAAAGCACCCGTCAGAACAGCACACGAATTAAATGTTTAACCAGCATATGCAAATAATGTACATTTGTTATTGCGAATAAGTGCAGTGTCCCGTGATTGTAACTCTACCGCTGAGTTAACATTTGATGTGAATGTATGTCGTGTTTTACAGTAGGCCTATATTGAGACGGAGGCACGCTGTAACAATACTACGATATTTGTCAAAAGCAGATCGTGGAGACATTTTAATCGTCCACGATCAAAAATCGTTATATTGCACACCCCTATTTTACGATACGAGAAATTTTACGATATGAGTGCAACACTTACTCTAGAAGAAAAGACTTAGGCTAAACTTTGTTACTTAAAAACAAGAGGCTTTTTGGCCATCATTCTCAAAGCCGTCATCAGACATCAAGAACAGATCTATCACACACTGCTTTATAAACACTTACAGTCAGCAACAGGTCCCACTGCCCCAGTAATTGTTGGAGTGGTTTTATAACAATTTTGTAAAAAAAAAATAGAGTATCATATTTCTCAATAAAACATATCATAATCCATTTCCTGATTAAGCCCTTTGGGAAACTAAAAAGAAAATCCAAACGTTTCCCTGGACCTACAGTTCATATCAAAATCTCCTCCCTGGCCTGGTGAAATAACTTCAATGCCAAAATAAAAGAACTCACAGATAGAATGTGAACGCTCTCTAAATTGTTGTTTTACTGGGTTACTAACATCACCATGTCTTACGGTACTATGATGTTCACTTTTTCAAATGTTCTGTTCTCTTGATGTTTCATCATAGAACAATCCACATGGACAATGTATAGCATAAATAACAGTGCACGAGTTACAAATGATGGCGAATTTTTTATTTTTTTTTGCCTGTTCGAGGGTGTGAGAAATATTTTAAACTCCAAGTGTCCTGACATTGAGGAAATCACAATAACATTTATCACAACATCTAGGAAATCCATAGTTTTCCCACTAAATGAAATTGTAAACTTTAGATCTATTGCAGAATTCCAATATTCATGAAAGGAGTTGCAGACCTTCCAAATCCCCTTGAAACAGTACAAAGATATAATCAATGTAAAAGCTTGTACAAAAGTAATTGATCATAAAATGGGTTATTGGTTCTTTCAAATATCTGAAATTTGTAAATTTGCATAGTTAAAAAAATTATCCAAAATAAAACACTACATGTTGTATGAATTAAATATAAATTGATTCTTATTAAAAATACAGAAGTTATTAAGTCAAAAGCAGTGAGTGATTCTCTTATCTTTTGTTGTTTAACTGACATTAATGACACAGCAGCAGCCAGCAGGTATAATAGAGTGGTTTGACCAAAAATCTGTATAACTGTTTTTTTTTTTTAGGATTCTGTCGGTTTGGCGGTTTATCACAGTTTGTCCCTGTCCATGCCTTTATATGAATCAGATTGCATGAATCAGTTTTATCCAAACAAACACACTACATTACAGTATAAGGTAGGGATGCACGATATAATCTGACCGATATCAGAATCGGCCGATAATGGCTTAAAATGTAAATATCGGCATTGGCCCAATATGAAAAATTATGCAGATATGTCTTGCCGATAAGAAGATTAACTCACATGTGCTCAGGGTGTGTTAGCGATTAGATCAAGTCAGCAGTATGGTCATTCTTGAAGCAAACTTTTGCCAGAATGACAAAAA